ATAAATTTGGATCCATTGGTCTGACACTATTAGCAACAAACTACTGTGGGAGAGAACAAACCAGATTCCAGCGGAGGAAGAAATCAGGAAGAAGCGCTGGAAGTGGCATAGGACACACATTGAGGAAAGCATCGAACCACATCACAATGTAAGCCCTTATCACCTGGAATCCTCAAGGCCAAAAGAGGAAGACCAAAGAACATATTTTGCCGAGAATTGTTAGCAGATATGAGAAGAATGAACAACAATTAAATAGAGCTAGAAAGGAAGGCTCAGGTTAGAGTGGGTTTGTGAATGCTTGTTAATGGCCAATACTCTATTGGTATTAACAGGTGTAAGTAAGTAATTAAGTGAGTATGTGCTTGTAAAGATTATGGATCTTGAATGTGCATTATTAAAGAGTTCCATACTAGAACAAAACAGACATCTAGTGCTTCCAAGTATTAAATAGTTGTCTAACATCGATCGATTTATGATCTCAATCAGAAAATATCAATACATAAATCAATTAACTACTAATTATAACAATAAAAAAAATATAAATCAATAATTCATCTTACCAAGTATCGCTTTACGTATTTTACGATCTCTTTTTTTAAAGCATAATTTTTGATTATATGAATCTTTGTTAATATGATCAAGAAATGGTTTAAAATCTTTCGGTATTGTATGATAAATGAATTCATGATTTTGATCTAAAATTGATTTTTCCTCTTCTTCCTCCTCCTCTTCTTCTTCTTCTTCTTGTCCTACTGTTAGATCATTGAATTCACTTCGTGATAATGAACAAAATATATGACCTAAACTCATTGATATGATGATGATGATGATGATGATGATGATGAATATTGGTTAATTCTTTTTAGATGAATTAACAATGATTATGTCATGGAGATAAATGTGTAATCCTATTTAATAATAAGTAGTATCACTTGGATACAAATTATTATTATTATTATTACTATTTACTTATTATTCATAAAATGATTGAATAAAGCCAATCGAAAATGTCAAATCAACCTCTTTTTTTTTTAAATAAATTAACTTAGATACTAATTAATTAAACAACAACAACAACAAAAAAAGAAGTATTTCGTTGATTTGACCTTGATGGTGTTAAAATTTGATTGGATAATAGAATAGATTCTATTTTACACGCCTACACTTTCTGAATACACAGTAACTATGTCTAGTTAGTTAGTATATGTCACTAATTGTTAATGAGTAAAGTGTCATCATGAGCACAACAACAACAATAACAACAACAAAATAGAGATAAATAAATTTGACAGAAAACAGAATGGGACTAAATATAAAAAAATGTATCCATTTTCTTTGCTATTTGTGAAGAAACATGACTAAAACAAACCTATTACGTAATAAACTATAATTATCTATGGGTACTTGAATATACCATAAAATTGATTCGATGTATAAGAGTTGAATTATAGTTAGATTTTAACTAAACCAAGTTATATATACAGCAAGAAATTGTAGGATGATGAAGAAGATTTGTAGTTCAGTTGAATGATTTTAATGTTTGTTTTTTAAAGATGTTACATTGAAAGATATCATCCGTTCGTCGTTGTTGATTTAAATGTTCTTAATCCGATCCAGGAATTGTAAAGGGAATTTGATGGAGTGGTTGGATGAATTCATTAAATCGTTCAATATTCGTGAAATTTCTTTTGACATATTTTATGTTGGGATTCCAGTGAGTACTACAATTGAACGTAGAGGGATGTTTTGTTTGTGTATTTTTGGCTTACTGTAGAATCAAAGGAGTACTGATATATTGATGTTGCTTTGATATTTGTCCTGCTTTGAAAAGTTTCCTTAAAGTCTTTTAGATTCGGTTATCATCAAAATCGACGACAAGATATGCAAATTTCAAAGATTATGTCATAATGATCAAAAGATATATGTCAGTCGTAGTCGGTATAGAACCCGACACAATTGTGAATTGTAGAGGAAAAACAACAGATGACTTTATACATAGTGAAATATGATTATTTTATAGTTAAGCAAGTGGAACACATATTGGATGTTAAAGAATTTCAGTTGTGGCGGTAAACTATTGAGTAAAATCAGTGAAAACTTTAGAAACTATGACAGAAAAGTCACTGCTCAATAGATTAATTGAATCTTTGTTAATCTGAACAAATTTAAAATCTAATTTCGAAATTTTGAAGAGGATGAAATATACAATTCATTTTAATCATTGGATTCATGAACTGATAAATGTTCGACTACCATTTAAAATCTGGAGGCAGTGGACGGTGGTTTAGTTCTACTATGGGACCCTCGACAATCTACATGCATGACTCATGATCGAAGGTCCTGGATTCAGTATTAATATCTGATTAAAATTTCAATGTTTATTATTTAATACACTCTCTCCCTTCCTCTTTCTTCTGGTGGTCGACTGGATTATGAAGACCTCAACATCTGAAGGAAAACACGGAATACAATGGACAGCTCAGAATCAATTAGACGATCTGGACTTCGCAGATGACCTAGCCCTCCTATCACGTACACACGAACAGATGCAGATGAAGACAGCCAGTGTAGCAGCAGTCTCTGCATCAGTAGGCCTCAGTATACACAAAGGGAAAACCAAGGTCCTCAAATTCAAAGTGGAGAACAGCAATCCAATCACCCTTGATGGCGAAACTCTGGAAGATGTAGAATCCTTCACATACCTGGGAAGCATCATCGATGAACAAGGAGGTTCGGATGCAGACGTAAAGGCGAGGATTGGCAAAGCAAGGACAGCACTCATACAATTGAAGAACATATGGAACTCAAAACAACTTTCAACCAATATCAAAGTGAGAATCTTCAATACGAATGTCAAGGCAATTCTACTGTATGGAGCTGAAACTTGGAGAACTACAACAACCACAATCAAGAAGGTACAAGTATTTATAAATAGCTGTCTACGCAAGATACTCAACATCCATTGGCCGGATACCATCAGCAATAGCCTTCTGTGGGAGAGAACAAACCAACTTCCAGCTGAAGAAGAAATTAGGAAAAGACGATGGAAATGGATAGGACATACATTACGCAAATCGTCAAACTGCATCACGAGGCAAGCTCTAACTTGGAATCCTGAAGGGAAGCGGAAAAGAGGAAGGCCAAAGAACACATTACGTCGGATAATAGAAGCAGATATGAAAAGGATGAATTACAACTGGAAGGAGCTGGAAAGGATTGCCCAGGACAGGGTTGGATGGAGAATGCTGGTGAGCGACCTATGCTCCTTCACGAGGAGTAACAGGTGTAAGTAAGTAAGTAAGTAAGTAAGTACACTGATAGAACAGAGTACATTCATACGATAATAAAATGTGGATAGAATGTATGAAATAGAGAATTTATTGTTTACCATAATTCAGGTAATTTATCCGTTACACAATAGCAAAAGTAATCAGAAGACAAATACTAATTTTTAAAGAAAATCACGACAATTTTACATAAATATCTTTAACCCACTTAAATTTCAATGTAAAAATAGCTAAATGATTTATTTTGAATAATATCAATTGAAGCTAGACCACCATGGAAAACCTGGGAGCCCTGTACGGTCGTTTCATCCTACTGTTGGACTTCTCAACAGTGCTCACCCACGATCCCGCCTTACGAGATTTGGACTCAGGACCTACAAGTCTCGCACGCGAGCGCTTAAACACTAGACCAGTGAGTCGTTATCTAAAGGTGTTAATGTCTAACTTCAACTAATCCACGAAATTGAGCGATTAGTTTAACAACTGAACAAGTAATCTGATAGTCACAGATCAGGATTTATCGTCTAATATACCCAGAATTTCTAGGGAGGGTGTATTAATCCATGTGATAACATTGGAAATTGGTTTGTAATATGTCTAATATTCAGTCCTATCGTATTACAAATTAACAGGATAATTCAAACCATATAAGAATATTGATAAACCAGATCAACATTATTTGGTAATGGATAACAATAATGATTTCTAATTAAACCAGTGCGAATTGTTTTTATCTCGGTCAGACCATGAAGCCTCATGTTACAGTAAATTAGAATAGATTGAAGACCTCACCAATATTTCATGACAATTTTGAAGTAACTCTTGATTTTTTATTTACGCAAGTAATTCACCATTTTTCTGGAACTATCTGGGAAGTTACTGTTGAAACCAAATTGAAAGAAATGTTTGCAACCTTTTTACAGGTTATGAAAAATTTCCAAGGGAATCCACGAAAGTGAAACATTGGTATTTGAAGATTGTTATCGAGAAGTACTACATAATTTATTCATACGAGTATTTACTCAAAGGAAAGGTGTAGGTGTGATTTTGAGTATGATCCTGTTAAAATGTATCCCAACTTCATTGAATGTTACAGTTCGTGAACTTGCCACTAAGTCATACAAGTAGTGATTAGCCTCGTATCGAACTGAAGTGTTCACAGTAGTCAACGCTTGTTAATATTCAACCTAATAATACTGATGTTCACATCAGGGCTCAAACCTTGTACTTTTCGCTTCAAATCTCAAAGTATTATTTATTCAGATAACGAAAAGCACTGAGTTCAAATTTCAGGGTGAACATCAGTTCTTGGATCCAAATACATTCAGCTGATAAATCCCAGAAAAAAAGCGAAATCCACGACATGGATTTCATTGTCTATTCTATGTAAACCTGTGAAATAATAGATGTATCAAGGGAATTCTTATAGGATACACAAATATCAACCAAGACTGATCAAGATGTAATCGAATTGTCAACAATAGAATAATCCTAACCATTACAAGTTGAATAACATTTAATCATTGTATTGAAATCCTTTTTTTATGCACATTTCAGAATATTGTCTATTCTGTATTGATACGTAACATGAAATATTGATTTTAACTTTTTATCTAATCAATATTATTCACAATAAGATTGAATACAAACAAAGATTGAAAATCAATAATATTGATAATTTCGTTAATCAATAAACTGTTATCTAAAACTCACTTTTAATCAATAATGTTTTTGATGATAATTGTAATGTAGGAGTTTCCCATGGAATAAATTCTTTATTAACCAAATCAATACATTGTATTGGAATAGTTAAATCAGATAAATGTGGTCGTACAACATCTCTTTAAAAGAAAGATATAGAAATATATATATAGATATTAAACGAGAAAGTATACATACTATTCTAAATTCACGTTCAGTAACTACTGTTGCTGAAAGGCTTATGCTCTTCATGAGGGATAGTGGGTGTAAGTAAATAGTGCTGTTAGAGGTTGCCCACACCGTGCAAGGGTTCTTCTTGAGGTACTTGAAAGGGAAATTCGGTCAAGGGTGACCTAAGAGCGTGACCGCAGTGGTTGAGGTCGGTTACACACGACATTTTTGTGAGTAATTTTCGTGTTGGCTCCGTACTTGTTAGGATCTAGTCTGTGGCAGTGAAACATGGTCTGTAAGAGTAGAGGATATTCGTAGGTTCCTAGTATTCGATCATGGGCGTCTTCGAAGCATTGCTCGTGTATCCTGGGACCACCGGGTAAGTAATGCACTTGTTATGAAACGGATACTAGGTAAGGATGGTAAATCAATTGATGAAGTGCTGAAACTTTATCAGTTGAAATGGCTAGGACACGAGTTACGAATGCCCAACCATTGACTGCTCCGACGTGAAATATTTTATGGTGTGGGAAGAGGTTAGAAGAAAGCTAGAGGCGGTCAGACCAAAAAATGGCACAAATCCATGAAGTCACTGAAAAGCAGGCTGAGCCATGTTGGGAGGTGTAGACTACCTGGTCGGGACCCGCGAGACGATAGCGACCGATGTTTAGAGACTTTGAATGACATGGTTGAAAGTCGTTTGCAATGGCGCAGGTGCATACACTCTTTGTGTTCTCCCGAATTCTTCATACCCCCCTCTTTTTTTCTCTTTCCAAACTTATTTCACTGGATTATACTCTTTGAATAACATCTTCAAACCCTAATATTTCCGATTACTGCTTATACTTTTATTACCTCTACCAATATGGCATTTGAATCGAGAATTACATCTCTGTGATATTTTGTTATAGCAACTCGAAATGATGTGCGAACGTAAGAAGTTCTACGTTTTGATTGACTGACTATCGTCTAAGACGGATATACGTGGGATAAGCTAAGCTGCGTATTTTTAGGATAGACCTTTCCTAACCCCACCCTTACTTGTGGGAAGACAGCATCGCTGTTATGCTAGTTATCTGAAGGTAGCACCTTACTGCCATCACACCTATGTACAGTCAGCAGTACGACTTCGCCCTTGGACCTCGGGTTTGCTGCTTTTAGTCTTACCGTTGTTTAACCGAACTGTGATCAATCAATTGTGATGTTTTAATATATTCGACTTTAAATCAACTGATTTCAATGTTTGAACTTCCTTCTTCCTATTTCAGCTGTTATGCAATATTTATAGATCACACACGATGTATAAACGTTAGGTAAATTAGATTTTTACTTCTAGGATTGTTTAATATATACATATGAATTTCATATTAATTCATGGATGAATGTTGGGTTAATGTTCAGAGATATTAATCACGACTTAATATATAATATAAATAAATTGACTTTTGGATTTACTAGTCAATCAATGCTAAATCATGAATCGATTGGTGTTAGACATTAACACCGTTGGATACCGGTTCAGTGGTCTAGAGGTTAAGCGTTCGCGCTCCAAACCAAAGGTCATGGGTTTCAGTCCCACACGCAAGTTTGTGGACATGCACTTATGAAGGTTCACATATTAGTAAGAAACAGCCATCCAGTGGTTTCAGGTTTTCAGTGATGGTTTAGTGTAGATTGTCTAATGAATTCAACTGTTAGTATACTAAAATCCCACAAATCCCAAAATTGATAACCAAATTGATTGATCTAATTACATTCATCATTTATGATAGTCTAACATTTCAACTTTGAATTAACCAATTCTATGAAGAAAGAAATATTTCAATAGTTGAAATCATGATTCAATTGAATCTAGACTACCGTGAAAAACCTGGAAGCACTGGACGGCCAATTCATCCTAGCATAAGATTCCTGAACAGTGCGAATCTACGATCCCGCCCCCGCCCCCCCCCGGGAGATTCAAACCCAGGAACTATCAGTTTCGTTGGATGCTGATTCAGTGGTCTAACGGTTAAGCACTCGCATGCGAGTGTTTATAAGTTCTAAAATTGATATTTGAATGAAAAACTATGTCACTCACTCTAATTTATCCGAAGGTAATGGATGTAATTTTATTTCAATACCATTCCAGAAGCGTATTGTAAACATTTTTGTAGGAAGTGACATGTTCTCAATATGTTTAAACTGTTTGATTGTGCAAATATGTGTTTTATAATTGGGAAAAAAATAAACAAAAACGCATTTAGATAAAAAGAGTTATATAAATGCGATAATAATAATCATTCATAATACGATGACTCGTTTACAATCATGTCACTGAAGCTATAAAACACTTAGGTATGGTGCAGTGAATGCTTAATTATTTATTTACTTATGCCTGTTACTACCAATGCAGCATAGGCTCCAGACAAGCATTCTCAAACACACTCTAACCTGGTCATTCCTATCCAGTTCTATTTAATTGTTCTTCATTATTCTCATGTATGTCTCCATTTATCGGCCTAATCTATTTTCTGGTCTTCCTATTCCCCTTTCCAGTTCACCATTCCATGTGATGGGGACTTGCCTTGTGACACAGTTGTGTGCTTTCCTCAACGTGTATCCCATCCACTTCCAACGCTTCCTTCTCATTTTTTCCTCCACTACAATCTGGTTTGTTCTCTTCCATAGTAGGTTGTTGCTGACATTGTATGGTCAATGCATCCAAATCTATTTTTATAGACAACTGTTAATCAACACTTGTATCTGATGGATAACTGTTTTCGTAGTTCTCCAAGTCTCCACCTCATACAGTAGAACTGTCTTGACATTTGTATTGAAACTTGTGACTTTGTTGTTGGTTGACAATTGTTTTTAGTTGTAAATGTTATTCAATTGCAGATATGCTGCTTTTATTTTGTCGATCCACACCTTCACATTTGCATCAGATCCATCGTGTTCATCGATGATGTTGCCTAGATATGCGAAGGTGTTTACATCTTCCGAATATTCTTCTCTGTCAATTGTGATTTGATTATTGCATGATGTGTTTTATTGGAGAATCTTGCTTTTTCCTTTGTGTTTATTGAAACTTACTGCTGTAGTTGCCACTTCTTAATTACTTCCTGATTTCAAACATCACTGAAATTCATATACTAACAATTATCATAGTGATTAACAAAGCTAAACTATTACATGGTGGAAAAGATTTGTAGCTCATGTGGATGATTTTGGTGGAGTTTTGTTCTCTGAGCTGGATGGTTTGGTCGTGGAGCTTTCATCGTTCTTCTGAACGACATCATCAGCACAAACTTCAAATAGAAGTGAAGTGTTTGAATTTCTCCATATGTGTTCCACAGCTTGTTCTGTGCATCTCGATGTTGATTGGTTTTTATTGACCTTAAATTTATCATTGTTCACCACTTTTTTTTGGTTGTGTCTCTCATTGGTTTGATTTTTGAAGAAATTCAAACACTTCACTTCTACCTGAAGTTTGTGCTAATGATGTCGTTCAGAAGAACGATAAAAGCTCCACGACCAAACCATCCAGCTCAAAGAACAAAACTTCACCTAAACTATTACATATGATAAAAAAAATTTTTTTTAAAAAAATCGTAACTTATACATTAAAAGATAAAATATAAAAACTGATTTTATTGATTAAATATGACCTTGCAAAAAAGTTTTTTTTCGTTTTTTTTTACAAAAAAAAACTTCTAGAATTTCTTTCAATCAAATCCATTTTTATGATTCATCCACAATTCAATAATCAATATTGAAATGATAATGGAATGAGTTTGTCTTTTTGTTTTTTTTTTCAAAAAAAAAATAATAAATTTAAATCGATTTAAAAATTCAAATATTTTATTATTTTTTTATTGATTTTTTTTTGAAAAAAAAAATTTAAAAAAAATCTTTTTGAAGAATATTTGAAATTTCATTTTAAAAAAAATCAATAATTGGAAAAATACAAAAAAAAATTAAGTATAAATTGAGAATAATATATGTCTATATTAGTTTAATTTAGGTCATATATACATATATATAGAGAGAGATCTCTTGATAATTAAGATATTTCTGTAAGGTTTTAAGATGTAAGCTTTAAGCTAAAAAACTAATTGAAATGAGTCAAATTGACGAAATAAAAGAATGGAGATTTATGGATGTGGCAGTAAATGGAATGGATGAATCAATGAAATGTAGACTATCATGGAAAATCTGGAATCATTGAATGTTCAAGGATCATATGTGGAATCATTGATACATACTGATGAGTAGGTTCATATTATAAAGAAACGAACATACAATGTTTCCAGGATTTTAATGGTGGTCTCTCTTGAATTGATTTATGATCTTAACTATTAAAATAAAGTTTTTATATCGATAATCTTTTTTTGTGGTTGTTAGAGTTTTCAACTCATGTTCATGTGTCATTTAAGTTGCATTTCTTTGGTTGATTTTTGTTATAACAGTTGATTTTCTAACGTTCACACGTATGGGACGTTAATTTAACTTAGGCGAATATCTACACTAGATTCCCTTCCAGTTTCTACTCTACAGGATGTAAACACAACTCAGATGATCAAGAACAACCACAACGTAAATATATTTCCACACCAAAACCTCGACACCATCCAACAACAATGAACAATCAATAATAAGTGAAGGCGTAATAATAATAACTCCGCCTGGAGTCCCTCCGGGGGCTACTGCCGGTCCCAAGCCCGGATAAAGGAGGAGGGTTGGGCATGGGGTTAGCGTCCCCATCCCGTAGAAAACTAACTCGCTAAAAAAACGCTAACCAGAAAAAATTATTCAAACCTTTTAAACTCTGCCCTGGGAGTCAGAAGATCTTCATTTAGAAGAATTATGACGCCTCATGATGAAAGCCGAATCCCTTCGGAAGTTACGAGGCCGATGCCCCTTCTGACAACCAGAGCGACCATTTATTTAGGTACATGGAATATTCGTACAATGTGGGACACCGGAAGAGCCTTCCAGATTGCTGCAGAAATGAGAAGTAAGTAAGTAATAATAATAAGGATAGGAGAATATATAACTCATCTGACACCTTTCCGACTATCTACATGTCTGACTAAGCAGACAACTAATCATTATCATCCACACCCACACATCAATGTTTGTAAATTTTAATCGTTGAATTCATGAGTCGATCGAAGATAGACTACCATTAAAATCCTGGAAGCACTGGACTCCTGAACAGCATGCATTCACGACCCCACATATGGGACTCGGACCAAGGACTCTCGAACGTTCAGTGATTCCAGATTTTCCATGATCGACTCATGAATTTAATTACTGCAATATCCACAAATCTCCATTCTGATTTTTCTTAAAATTGAATAATTTCAGTTAGTTTAAGCTTAGTTTAAGCTAACATCTCAAAACCTTGCAGAAATATCTTAGTTTTGGAGATGGCAATACAAAAATATAATTGCCATTTACTTACAACTAGATTATGAATGCTTGCACTAGATTCAATCAATATTATTTGAATAGAATATGAGTACCAAAAGGTATATTTTTGTTTCAAGAGAATAATGAACTGTGACGGTTCTCTTCTATAAAGTTTGAAGAAACTCATTTTTGGGGGAAGGGGTTGAAATGATAAGATATGGATATCTAGCATATAATCATGTCAATGAAATACAACTGGGTAATGTTTGAGATAAAAATCGTACAGCCTTCATTCAGTTAAATATGATATATCAGATTGTTGATGAGTCCTAGAATCCTTCTAGCTAAATTATTTAGAGACCCAGAAAATGCCTGGATACGTTTTAATTAACCAGGATTCGATAGAAGCGTATCAGAACTGTCTAGAAGAAGGACGAAACAAGTGTTAAGTCTTTGACATGATAATTACGTATACAATTGTTGTATTTAGTATATTCACAGCAAGTTATAGAAAACCAAAGTTACTTGCAACTCTATAAATACTCCCGATTTTATGGACATAAACTAACCTTGAAATAAAGCTCTTACTCACACTTCACGCATTTTCTCTATTGTTTGAGTTAACGTACAGACGTAGCTTGGGGTTATAGCAAGCAGCTACGAAGACAGTAATAAGCGTTCTAGTAGCACAATGATAACAGATAGAACCAAACAAATTATCCGTAGTCACACCTACACAAATGTAGGAGAGCTAATGTCAGAGAATTACCACACATATGTCACTATATCATTTAATCATGCAACTTACATCTACATATGATTTGGACAAACAAAACTTTACACTTAATCGAATTATTAGTCCTCGCATTATGAACTAAATTGAATTACAAAATATAACCAAGTAATTCATCAACAGGATATTTAACCGAAGATGATTAACTCTCAAATAAAACCAGTAGGTATGCTTTTGACATCTTACAATGAGATATTTTATATAAATCAGCTAGCGAACTTTACCCAGTCATATTGTATACATTTTCAAATTTCGGATGTAGCATTCTGGTTAGCGTTTTTTAGAGTAAGTTTTCTACTGGATGAAGTCGCTAACTTCATGCCCAACCCTCATCATTTATCCGGACTTTGGACCCGCAAAAAAACACAGAGTGGCTCCAGACGGAGTACCATCAGCCTCAACATCAGTAGGTCTCAACATACACAAACAGAAAAGCAAGATTCTCCAATTTAACACATTATGCAACAATTCAATCACAATTGACAGAGAAGAAGATTCGGAAGATGTAAACACCTTCACATATCTAGGCAACATCATCGATGAACATGATGGATCTGATACAGATGTGAAGATGTGGATCAACAAAACAAAAGCAGCATATCTACAATTGAATAACATTTACAACTAAAAACAATTGTCAACCAACAACAAAGTCACAAGTTTCAATACAAATGTCAAGACAGTTCTACTGTATGAGGTGGAGACTTGGAGAACTACGAAAACAGTTATCCATCAGATACAAGTGTTGATTAACAGTTGTCTATAAAAATAGATTTGGATGCATTGACCATACAATGTCAGCAACAACCTACTATGGGAGAGAACAAACCATATTGTAGTGGAGGAAGAAATGAGATGGAAGCGTTGGAAGTGGATGGGATACACATTGAGTGAGGCACACAACTGTGTCACAAGGCAAGTCCCCATCACATGGAATGGTGAACTGGAAAGGGGAATAGGAAGACCAGAAAATACATTAGGCCGATAAATGGAG